TGTGTAAATTGACCACTTTAAATTTCCCTCGTGGGTTTGCTCACATTGCGTACCATAAGTCCCAAAATGTTGTATTAGTTTCCATTAAAAAACTGACTTCTTCCTTAATTTCATCTTTAATTTATTGGTTTTTCAATAGCATGCTATTTAATTTCAATGTGTCTATGCTATTTTGTAGTTTGTTTTGTCATTGATTTCTAGTTTCATTACACTTTGATCTGATAATATGCATAGAATACTACAAATTCCTTTGCATTTGCTTTGGCATGTTTTATGAATTATTATGTTGTCTGATTTGGAGAAAGTCCCATTTGCCGCTCAGAGGAATATGAATTCTGTTTTGATTGAGTAGCATATTCTGAACATATCTTCAAAGTCCATTTGTTTAAAGATTTGATTGTATTTCTTTGTTGATTTTTTTGTCTAGTTGATATGTCTTTTTCTGATGGTGGACTTTTTAGTTTCCCCATTATAGCACTTATTAGTGCTTATCGATTTTTCATATCCATTAGTGTCTATTTTACATAATTTAGTGTACTGATATTTGGTGCATATATATTTATGATAGTTATCTTTTCTTCTGGTATTTTTGTTTTGACAAGTACATAGTAGCCACTGACTCTTCTGATCAGTTTCTCCTGAATTCTACTTTGTCTGCAAATAGAATAGTTATCCTTGCTTTCTTCTGGTTTTTTGTCACATGGAGAATTCTTTTCCATTAACTTTCAGTCTATGAACATTTTTTGAATTAAATGTGTTTCTTGTATGCAGCATATTGTTGAGTCTTACTTTTTGGTTCATCCTGAAAATTTGTTTCTCTCAATAGGTGAACTGAGCCCATTCATGATGATGTTTATAAGTGATATGCTTTGATTTATCATTGTCTCTTTCTAGAATATCCTTCAGGATTTTGGGGGATGTTAGTTTATTGATCATGAATTTCTTCAGGTGTTCTTTATCATAGAAATATCTTACTTCTCTGTCAGATTTAAAAGTTTTGCAGAGTACAGTGATCTGGGTTGAAGTTTGTTTTCTTTTAGGACTTGAAATAATTCACTCCAAGCTCTCCTTCACTAAATAGTTTATGTTGAGGAGTCTGCTGTGATTGTGATGGATTTCCCTGGATAGGTGATTTGATTTTTTTCTCTAATAGTTTCTAATATTTCTCCTTTTGTTGAGTTTCTGGAATCCTCACAATGATGTGTTTTTTTTTTTCTTGATTTTAGTTAATTGTTCTATATACATCAATTATATGCATGTTAAATTCTCTACCTATGGTTAGGAAGATTTCTATTACTTCTGTGAAAAGGTAATTTATGTCCTTGTGTTTTCTTCTGATTTTTCATTAATTCCATTTAATCTTATTTCCATCTTCTCTACATCATCTAACAACTGTTGTATTGATTTTTCATGGTCTCTTCCTCTTTTTAAATAGTATTCCATTTGATGAGCACTAATTAACTCTGTCATCCAGATCTGAAATTTTCTTTACACTGATTGGTTCTCTTGTGTATGCTTTCAAAGGAATTTTTAATCTCCTAGATATCTGTTTGTATTTGTTTTATAGCATGCAGTTTTTTTCCTATGTTGGGTATTCATGTTTTCCTTAAGCTCTTCTACTTTTTTTTATTTGTACTTATTTTAAATTCACTGATAATTCCCTTCATTATGATCATCATGTCTTGCCTACCTGCATGATTATTTATGATTTGTTTTTATCTAAGGATTTATTCATCTGGTTTGCTCCTTCTGCTGCTACCATTTCATAAAATTCAGGTGGGAGGTTTTTGGTTTCTTCTACCTCAGAGTCCTCTGTCTTTCTTCGAGTAAATTGAATGTTTTAGATTACATCTTGCTTCTGTTTCCTAATTTTCTATTTTTATTTTTGCTTGTTTTCCATGTTGAAGCAAATAAGTTGCTCAAGATAGGTAGTTTTATTACTAGTCTCAAGACTTTTTTTATGCAACGACTGCTTCTCAGAGCTGTCATCTAGGTGTAGCTGGCTTTTTATCTCTGAGTCATTTCCAAGATTCTACCTCTTCTGTTTATTAAGGACAAAAAGTTGCAATTTATTTAACCTAGCCCCCAGTTCTTTAGAGTGGGCTTTAATATTGTTTTTTGACTCTGAGGATACTGGCACAAAAAGATGATCTATTGAACATAATAGCTATGTCACCTTGGCTGACTTAGTAGAAACAGTAATGTCTATAGTATCAAGCACAAACTAAAAAATGGTGAACAGAGATAATATTTGTCACCTTTAGCCTTGGGTAAAAGATTTTATAGTTGTATAACAAAGTCTAACACTAATCAGAAGATTACGCATAGTAAATATCCCCTCAGTTTCCCCTTTTCACTACAAAGCAATGTTCACTCATAGTAACACACTGATACTACCTATTGTATCTTAAGGTTTAGCAGAATGAGTTTTAAAGTATGAAGAAAAAAGAGAAACAATGAAAATTAAAAAAGCAATGATAGACATAAAGAGCACGGTGAGATTGATGTAGGAAGTCCTTTCGGGAATAAGAGGAATTTAGTGGCATTAGACAACAGTAATAGACATAACCACCTAGTAGAAGGTTAAGTAGTAGTGACTGCAGACAAACTAGAGGAAAATAAAATTTAAAAATGATACTAAGGGAATCAGTTGAAAGAGAAAAGTTAGAAAAGAATGAGGAGAGAGTAAAAGGGAGCCCTATTCAAGCAAAAATAAATAAATAAATGCACTAGTAAACTGGGAGACACAAAAAATGGATAAACCCCTGCTTCTGCCTAATGAAAAAAAAAAGTGAAAAATCTAAAATATAGCAATAATGGAGACAGAATACAGAAAAGTAGAGTAAGCGAATTCCTATATATTTCCAAGTGAGTTCTTCCTCTCCAGATCAGTGGTCTTTCATATTCCAGCTGACATCCTTCTCTGCCCCTCTGTGGAGTTTGTGAGTTTGTGTGGTGCTTAGTGTGCTTGAATAGTTCAGTTTCTATCCCCATTCCTGGCAGCTGAGTGGACCAGGCAAGGGTGGATACTCTTGTGGACTGCTTCTCATGGGAATCAATAGTGGTTACCCGGTGGATTTTTCCACTTTCCGTGGGACAAGCTTTTGAACATAGAGGTTCCTATGGGCTTTAGGCAGTTCTGACTTCAGACCTGTGGTTGCTCAAAGTAGAAAAGAATCTTCCCACAGCTAACTTGGGACGACTTCTGCAAGCACAGCGAGGGCACAGAGCACTGATGGTGTCCCCTGGGTGCCTGGGCAGAATAGACAGCAGCTTACCAGGCAGAGGATGGCCTGTTGTGTTAAGCAGACACTGTGTCTGGGGCTCTGGCTGAGTGCAGGATGGAGTCTGTGGTGCCCAAGGTGCTTAGAACACTCCCTGGAAACCCTGGTTGCTTAGGGCACTGGTATTAGACCTGAGACAGAGACGGGGTAGAGGATTAGAGCAGAGCAACTCCGAGGGGTCCACACAGGCTAAAGGGAGCCCAGGTGCGAAATACAGACTCAGATGAGACCAGCTTAGCTACCTGTACTGAACTAATACCCCAGTTTGCCAGGGATAAACTGCTGGCTCCCTGAGGTGACCCAGATGCACTCTGTAGACTCCTAACACAGGCAGTGGTTGCTTATTTCCTTGGAATCTGAGTATGAATGGGCGCTTGCCGGAAGGAGTGGATCTCTGGTCACTCATCCCTGTGGTGTGTGCAGTGCTAAACACTGCTGGGCTGCACAATCGTCTGTTTGGAGAGGCAGACAATGAGGTAAGGGGTTGTACACCCCCAGTCTGTCCTATGTAGTTTCACTGCTGCATGGACTGAGACCAGGAGCAGCCCTGTCTGGTTTGCCTCTTACACTCCATGGATGTGTTTTGTTTGATCTGCCTTTTCACAATTAATCTTTTCATCAAGATGTATGCTCCTTCCTTTCTTCCAGCTACCTGTGTTTTTATTTTATCTTCTCTGAATTTCTCCAATGTTGTTCTCCACCTGTGGCATGTTCTAATCTTTTGTATCTCATTACTCAGTTATTTTATATCTATATCTATATCTATATCTATATCTATATCTATATCTATATCTATATCTGTATCTATATATAGATACAGATATAATCCAGGGCCCTTGCACAGAACCACATTCCCCTTCCTAGTCCTCGCCAAGTTTCCAGGCTGGCCTTAAACTTGTAACCCTCCTGCATCAACCTCTCAAATGCTGGGATTTTGCCTGATTCCTAACTCATAATTGACTTACTATTTCATTTAATGATTAAATTGAATGCACAAATACTTTCCCAAAACAATATGAGTTGATGACATGATAAAGATCTTTGTCAGAAATACTCCATATTTTAGGCCCTTACTACAATATTTAGGCCATTATTAAAAAACAATTTATGTAACTCTTATGTACAAAATTTTATTTTAGAAATGCATAGTAACCCTACACAAAACATAATTGTGAGTTATCATAAATAAGAAAAGCAAATAGCCCTCATAAAATGTCCATTTTTGAAAGCTGTTGGGAAACAAAATTAAATTTTATTAAGGGAATACTCAGTAAATATCAGTCATTTTAAATTTTATTTAGAGACAAGATTTAAATAAATTGCCTAAGCTAACTTCAACCTTGTGGTCTGCCCACGATTGCCACTCAAAAACTGGTATTTTAGACATGTTCTACCACTCCCAAATCATGATTTATATCTTCTAGAAGAGACACAAGAATATAAACCGAACTCACTCCGGTACTTGAGAACGATCAATTTACTACTTGACATGCTAGGTGCAGTGATCATAGTTTTAAAAGTAAATTACATTTTTAAAGGACAACCATTAATAATAGAAGTAAAGATACACCTTTACTTTCAAAAAAAAAGTATTAACTAACATTTCACAAGTCGATGCAGAGACCCATTTACAAATCATAATTGATGCTAGCAGTAACTGATAGAAACTATTCTAAAAGGTCTGTTTTTACTTGCTCTCTGGATTTTGTTTTCCAGCTCCCTGTGGTGGCCACTTCTCAGCTCCAAGTGGAGTCATTCTCTCCCCAGGATGGCCAGGATACTACAAAGACTCTCTGAACTGTGAGTGGGTGATTGAAGCTGAACCTGGACACTCTATCAAAATTACGTTTGAAAGGTCTCTGCAAATATTTTTTATAGCTTTCAAAGGAAAGATGGCATAAACGTCCAGTTGATATTCTCTGTTTCCTTTAACAAATCCATGTATAGTTTTATTGTAATAGTCAGTTGTGCTCTGAAGACTTCAGACTGCTTGCCCCCTTTTAACCTTTCAGCCTGTTTTCAAGTTAATTTTCTATTTGTCTAATGCTGTATTCATACTACTGAAATATGCAAGGCTGACCTTTTCGCTTAATGTATATGCACAGCACTGAGATATAAACATATGACCTTTAAGTTAATGAGTTTAGTTGTCCTATATTTTGAAGGGTCTGTGAATCTGCTCTACTAGGTCTCAAGGGACAAAGGTGCTGTAAACACACTGAAATTGATATCGTATCACAGCCTAAGATGCTCATGCATGCAATCCATATGACCACGCTTACAAATTCTGTAAATCATCTGGTTCTCAGCATGTGTTAATGTTTGAATAACTGGCTTTTTTTTTTCCACGTGGGAAAAGTATTGCTAATCAGGTAATCTATACCATGAAAGACCATAACACTGAATATTCCAAAAAGTCAAAAGAATGAGGCTTCTGCTCTGTTATTGGCTTATACTAAAAAATCATTAACTTTGCAATTGCATTATTGACTTCCCTCATTTATCAATCTCTTTCTAAGAAACCAAATTTAAAAGTATTTTAAAGTACTGAGTCCACCTGATAAAGTTTTAAACACAGCAAGGTATCTTGATTATGGCTTAATGGTCCAAACTAATTGGACCAGTCTATGACTGAAAAGGCCTTCATTGATTAGATTTATCCATATTAGTATTGAAATTTTCATGAGAGAAAAAGAAATGACAACTCTGTCTTAAACAGTTATAAAATATTGAACATTTCTTATGGGCTCATCCTACATTACTGTGACCTACACAGTCTTACTTTAAGGAACCCTTTGCTGTGGCTGCCCTAAGATGCCAAGATAAACAATGTAGCTGACCTGACTGATACTTAGTGAGCATAATTTTGAAATCCTGAAGTCTGAGATCAAAGTGACTAAAAGGATTGCTTGTTCTGGCTTGTAGGTAGCTATTATCTCCATCTGTCTTTATATGGGATTCTCTCTACATTTGCACCCTACTGTCCTCTTCTTAATTACCTTTTTTGTTTGTTTTGTTGTACTGGGAGTAGAACCCTGGGCTTTCACACTGAGCTACCTCCCTAGCTCTTTTGCATTTTGAGACACTAAACTTCTCCTGCTGGGTTTGAGGTTTTACACTTCCTGCCTTAGTCTCCCAGTGGACTGGAATGACACTTTACAGCACAAGCAAGGCTTATCTTTATGATCATTTTAAAGGTGCTCTTTAGATAGTCAGACTAAGAAGTATGGGGAATTAAGATTTCAACATACAAATTCTGAAGGACATAATTTAGCATAATTGAGCCATCTCTGTTTTGTTCAGAATAGTTTGACAGCGTCTGATTTATGTTAAAACTATAATCTGTTTAGTAGTTGATGTGGCTTACATTTCTATAGCAATTTTTTTTTTTTACCTCTGTCTTTGTCTCTGTCTCTGTGTGTCTCTGTTTGTCTGTCTCTATCTCTCTCTCTGTCTTTCTCTCTGGCTCTCTCTGGCGCTCTCTCTCTCTCTCTCTCTCTCTCTCTCTCTCTCTCTCTCTCTCTGTACAGGCTCTCCCTATGCCGTTCAGACTGGCCTCCTGCTCTTAAACTCACTATTTAGTCCAGACTGACCTCAACCTCAGCCATATCCTCCCTCAGGTTTCTGAGGGCTGGGGTTATTAGGCCTCTGCCACTGTGCCAAATTTGAAAAACATTTCATTTATTGGTTATCAAATCTTCATTAAATGTTATTATTCCATAAATGAGGAATACAAATTAATTAACCGTACTTTATTACAGAAAATAGTATTTGGTTTAAAATATACACTAAAGCATGATAATCCTGATTATATTGCTGTGTAATTTTAAAAAAATTATATTGATTTGAGCCAAATAGAGATTTAGTTTATGTTTTCAATTTTTTAAAAAAATTCAAACAATGCATATGAAGGTTAAGCATATTTGTCATTCTATAATAATATTCTTTTAAATCAATGCACACATACATGTCAAATGCATGATTTCAGTAGTTTTATTATACTTAGCCATGCTTGTATCGAGTTATAATATAAAGATAATTGAAAATTTCCCATTGTATTATGTTTACAGAGTTCATAGCATCTGCCTTAGTTACTTTTCTCATTGCTAGGATAAGGTGCCTGACTCCACAAATTAAAGAGGAAAGATTTATTTCAGCACCCAGTTCGTAGAGATTTCAGGCAACTGACTCCCAAGGCAGGGTTTGATGGAAGAAGAGAAACAATCCATATCAGGAGGCAGCAAGCATGAGCCTTCTGGACTTTTATGGACCAGCCTTCTGTACCAGTGGCAGGTGCCATCCACTCCCAGTTGGGTCCTCCCATTATTCCCACTGAGAACCTGCTAAAACAATCAGTGGACTAATTTAGTGGTCACACATCCTGAATCAGTCTTCACCCACCCTAGATCCAGCCACCATTGAAAAGCCCCACCTATTAGTGCATCAGGCTTTGCAGGGGTTTCTAGATACGAGCCATAACAGTGTTAGTCACTTACACAGTTCTGATAGTCATCATCCTCCAGTATCCAAGTAAAAAGAGTGGAGTTCGACTCCTCATTCAAAGGAAAGTCTAATCCCTCTTTGAATTTTCAGCAAATTTCTAAAGATGTGGTGTTACTTTTTATTTAAACACATAGTACATTATTTTATTTAAGTGCTTTTGTTTTCTTCTTTGAAGAGCATCCCAATTGTGAGCCTAAGGCTGTTGTCCTTTCTCACCGTCACTGTGCTCCTTATTTCTAGCACTGCACATCATTCTCAAAAAAACTATGATCCTGGGTGAAAAAAACACCAGACTAATACAAGATTGAGAAGGTCTTCACTATCCTAAATGATCCCCACAGTTTACCGTCCCAGGAATAACTGCCTGTAGCTCTCTAGTTCCCTCTGTTCCCATCTCCTTCTCTATCTTTAATTCCTCTTTCTTCTAAAATCATCAGCCATTTTTCCCCATTCTGTAGTGCACCCTTCCAGTATTTAGCAGAATAAATCTCAAAATATCTGTTACTTTATCATGAAGAGCAATGTAACTGTGTCTCCGATCACTCAGTTGATATTGGAAAGCGAGTGCCTTTTCTTTCTTTCCAAACATGCCAGTTTAGATTTTTCCCCCTCAATCAAACAACACTGTTCTCCTTTCAAGAATTCACCTTTTCTTTATAGCTGAGCAGTACTATTCAGCTGTAAGCAAGGAGCCCATCCAGGCTTTTCTAGGTAAATGGATCCAACTTGAGACCATACTCATAAGTGAAATAAATCAGACACACATGTGTAAATGTAATATTGTTTACCTAATGTAAGAAAATAAAAGTATAAATAAGATCCAAAATCTACAATAGATATTGTGAAAGGATAAGAAAGTGCTCAAAAGAAAAAAATAACTGGGATTGGGAAAAGGAGAAAAGAAGGAAGGTAAAGAAAACAGATATAAATTTGGATATATACACACACACACACACACACACACGCATATATATATATATATATATATATATATATATATATAACTGACTTGATTATACTACTGATTCTATTAGTTCTTGGAAAAGAACATTTAATATTCATATGATTAGATCAATTCTGCATGTCTGTATCTGGTAATCTAAGAAACTCTTTTGAAGATAATAATATGCGATATAAAACCATTGTTAAATTTCTGTCATTTTTTGAAAACCTATATTGTTATTGTTTTGGGTTTATTGTTGTTTTGTCTCTTTTTCTTTCTGCTTTTCATGTCTGTTTTTGACCCCTCTTTAAAATAAAATTAAAAAATAAAAAAAAGAATTCATCCTTTTGCCACTGTCCTGCCAATTGAAACTTTAGCCTATTTAAAATAATGCTTTCTTCATTTCCTTATATTCAATTTAAAAATGCTAAATAAATCAAAAAAATAACTGGGAAATTAGTTTAAATGATATAAACACATAGTACATTATTATGTTCAAAAGCCTCCAATGGCTTAGTAATGGGAATAATCAATCATCTTTAAATAGATAAACACCTGTTATCTTTCAACCCAAAGTAGACTGTGTATAGTTGCCCATTTGAGGAGCAATTTGATTGCAAAGCAAAGTTTGCAATTGAGAGGTGCACACTGTAACTTCCACTGGGACTTATGTTTGAAAGCACTATTTCCTCTGCCCGAAATTCTTAGTGTGTGTTCTCTTTCCTTCCTAACAGACCAATCAACATGACTCTCTTCATTGTTTACTTCTCTGTGTAAATAACCTTTAGAACTGTCCAAAGTGAACCATGGACACAAATAATGTGTGATTTAGATCATTCCAGAGTTATCTTCTTAGTGAAATCTCTCTAGCCACTTTTATAAGATTTAATATTGATTAGCCATAAACTAATTTATTTTCTTTATAAGATATAACACTAATTAGACAATACTAATTTGTTTTCCCTAAATATAGGCTACTTGGCACATTTCACTGTGCCAATCTTATTATCTTATCTGTTTACAAAGGTACAAATTGGTAAATTAGACCACAAGCAAGATTTAAAAATAATTTTCAGTAGTAGAGTCTGTGCATGGAAACAAATATCAGTCCTATGAGTGAAACAGAAAATTCCTGGGGTGAAGAATGATTTCCAGGGTCCATAGATTTTGGCCTCTGCCCTTGAACATCACCAATCAGGAATTTTTAAAATATGCTTCATTTCTTAATCCCTAAACTAAAAGTGGTATCTGATCCGAAGAGAAACCAGATTATTGATCCCTAAATTAAACACTCAAGTAAATTACACATCACATGGCTCCCTCACTTCGTAGATATCAATCATTTAAAAAGTTGCTCATTATTTAGCAAACACTAGAAGAATCAGAAATTAAAACACCTTCAGACTTTATCAGCGGTATATTAAGCATTGAAGAACAAGCTAAACATACCTGTATCAATATATTTCCTTTGAATCATACTATTCAAATATAAAATAAAATTCCAAATCTTAAATATGCTAAATTAAAATATTTCTTGTGGGGCACTTTGTAATTTAATCTTTCCTCTCACACACACAAATGTGTATATAAGTCTTGATTTGGGGATATTTTAAGGAAAAATATCTACTTAAATATCTTCATTCTTTTCCTCTCATCTTAAAATTCTTTAAGGATGTGACACTTTGCTTGATTAAGAATGGTTAATATTCCATACACTTTGTCAGAAAATCTGCTCCTTAAAGATAACGCACATCTAACCTAGCAAGTACATGTTTAGAGTTATTCATCAGCAAAGGGAAGAGAAATGTGTTCTATCAATTTATAAAAAATACATTTATCTATTAGAATTGTGACATGAGAAGCCACTCTAAAATCAGACATCTCTATGTCTACTGCTTCTTTTTGTATTGATCTTATAATATTTTGATGTTTTATTTTGCCTCAAAGATTATCTTAAGGAAATAGAATAATATTTATAGCATTTATCACATACTGGGTTTTTTTAAAAAACCTAATTCTTTCTGATATCCATACAGGCTTTTTTAAGGATACCCGCTGAAAGATTTTTTAATAATTTCTTTCATTCTAATATTTTTATAGTTGTTAGTTTCAAGTACTAAATTGTATTGCTTGTAGAGATGTATTTGTTCCTACTACGCATGAATATAAATTAACTTAAATTTTAAAAATTAATTTAAATATGATTTTAAAATCAAATAATATAATTAGGATGATACAGAAAAATTTCATTTTCATATCTAGTCCAAATGTACCAATTCATTAGAATTAATCTACAAAAAACTACAAATATTTAGAAATATTTAGTTCTTAGTAGTCTCTGTTAGACTTTCTCAGGCAGCCTGAATCAGTGAACTCTTCCAACAAATATATTTTTTAAAAATTGTTTGCCTGTTCTTTATAAATTCAAATACCTAACAAGTTTTATTCTTTAGTCTTCAGATAATTTTTGCCTCTTCTCATAGCTCCCAAATTATCTTACTACCTTTCAACTCCTAAGTCTAAATAAAAAGGTAGTTATTTTACTATTTTTATGTGAAGCACATCTTTTATTCTTTTTTCATCTTTATCTTTCTGTCCAAAATCTTTTATTATCAGTATTCAGAGAATAGTTTAATTTTTAAAGTTATTAGGTCCAGTTTCATTTAGTAAATCATCTAATCGTTCTATACCATTTGTTTATTACAAGAAATAAACTAAACCAGTTTCATTTAGTAAATCATCTAATTGTTCTATACCATTTGTTTATTACAAGAAATAAACTAAGTCTCATAAATAATATTACATTAAGGCAATTCATGAGAAATTTATACAACTAATGCACAAACAAAAGTATTCATTTTATTGTGTAACCTTATCCCATTTAGTGTGTTATTAAAATACATTTTGTAGCTCCACAGAGGAAAAAATAATCTATGTTTTTCTTTTTAAACATTCACCACTACTGAACAATGTTCTTTATGTCACCAATATATGTAGCTATTCTATTAAGAATTAAGTCTCTTTATGTTTCAATTCAAATTAATCCATGACTTTTTGTGCATTTTAATTAGGTTGTTGTCTGATGACTGGCTATCAAAGCGCAATTCCAATTTCAGCATTCACAATAAATTCACTACAGAGCAACCAAATCCTACATTCATGATGCATTGCTAGATTTTTCATTTAGAAGGCTAAGTCTGTTCTTAACTGTAGTGTTATAGTTTTTTTTAAAAAGATACAATATATTCCAAGTTGTAAAATTAGAAGATAAATGTTATAAAATTCATGCATTTTACTAAATATATTGCTTAACAGAATGTAAAAGTGACAAAGTGGAAATATATTGCAATGATAATATTTTCTTTCAGTGCTATTGAGACTTGAAATCAAGGCCTTAAAGATGCTAGCCCAGCACTCAACCATGAGCAACAGATTTGGTCCTTCTTTATATTTTTATTTGGAGATTATATCTCAGTAAATTACCAAGTCTGGGGTTGAAATTGGCATCCTCCTGTTTCAGCTTCCTGAGTGCCTTGCATTATAGGGCTGTGCCACCACACCTGCACAATTGTTATTTCTTAAATTATATTAAATATATACACTTAGGTTTGACTGTTCATATGCCATGTTCATAATCATATAAGAAATTGACATAATGAGTTTCTAAATTTCATACTCCAGTTAGTTGTAGGCATTTGTTGTGACCCAGATTGGGTTATTTTATGCTTGTTTGTTTGTTTGGGGAGTAATATAGTTTAACTTTAAAAAAAAATTAGCATGATCCAAAAACTGCAGTGACTTGATCATAGCACAATGGAGACAAGCATTGAATTATTCCACTGTAGCCTCACATATTTGTGCCTTTTTTGCAGTGCTGGTTACTGAACCCTGGACTTCACACATGCTAGGCAAAGACAGTGATTTATTCATGAGTTTCATCCTCAGCCATATGGTATAGCCTGGTGTCCTACCTGGTATAGACTGATAGTTATAAAAATAAAAACAATTCTCTAATATTACTGCATGTTGATAGCTATAAATTATTTTTTCAAAGCATCCTGTAGATAACTAGAGAGACAACATATGGAGAATGTTTCAGGAGATGTGTTTTAAATGTGTGAAAGTACATGGTTAATACAGGTATATCCAATTACATTGAAAAACTTTTCCTGTAATTTGGAAACTAAGTTATGAAAAAACTTTGTTTTTTAAGTATTTCTGTTCTTGCATTTATCTACTAAATACTTTTTAAATTTTTATATAAATCATTGACATAAACAGAGACTACCTTATCTCAAAGTGCTAACAAAACGTGTGATGAGAAAAAGTGGTCAAATGGCAAACACAGCTGTGATCAATGAAACAAGGCATAGTTAATGGGCAGTTAGGTGAAGAAGCTAAACTGCCCTGTGAGGTCGGGAGAGGCACTCCGGTCAGCATTAAGGCTCAACTAAAAGATGTGTAGTAAAACAAACCTTGGCCAAAGTAGGAAAATAGTTTCCTGGGCTGTGAGATATTTATGACCAGATCATTAAGATACTTTTCCATGAGTACAGAGGAAACATTCCACAGCTTAGATCTCTGATATAGACGCCAACGTGGAATAACCTTGAAGTGTAAACAAATAACACAAGATGCCTGTATGTTACATACATCCAAAATAGCATTTCTTGCAGTTTCTGAAATAATTGTATATTAAAAGAAAGAAACATCAGCAGAACAGCAACACCTAAAGATAAACCCAACCAATATAGTACAGTGTAGCCTCAGATTCACTCTGGGTTTAAGCTTCCCTCTGTCATTTAAGAAAACCGGTTACTTATATTTAAATTGTAAATACTTGAGTATGCTAACCTGAACACTAGGTATAATAACAGTACTTACTTCATGTAGCTAGTCAGAGAATTAAATACACCAATCAATATAGGTAAACCTAGCAGAATTTCAGGCACCTAGAAACAACAAGTACACCATTATTTATTGGCCTTGTTATACCTAAATCTGCCCACTGTTGTTACATATTTATAATTAAAAACTTTAAGACCAAAGTCTGTCCAAAAATATAATACATATATCATATTTCAAATGTATATACTGTTAAATTGAGAATAGGGTTGTCTGATTGAAAGTGAATATAAATCACACTATGGAAGTGATAATGGTAACTAAAAATGACTTCACAGGTATCCTTTAATGACGAGGCCACTTGTTTTCTGATAATAATCCGTAATATATGAATGATGTTTTCCTTTAAGAAAGTAAACACTTAACTTTTTAGTGGTAAGTTTCCGTAGGAATAAGGGTCTGTATCTTTAGTATTTATAGATGACAGGATGATGAGTGATATCTTACATCCTAGACAATCTGAAGAGAATTACAAAAATCATAAAAAATAACATTAATTCCAACAACAACTAAAGCATTATTTTCCTGCATGGTATTGTTGTAATAAATACCTCTTTCATATGTCTCCTAATCACAGGTTTCAGACCGAACTGAACTATGATGTTCTGGAAGTTCATGATGGACCGAATCTTCTGTCACCCTTGCTTGGGTCTTACAATGGCACGCAGGTGCCCCAGTTCTTATTCAGCAGCAGTAATTTTATATACCTTCTGTTTACAACAGACAACAGCCGCTCCAACAATGGTTTCAAGATTCATTATGAAAGTAAGTAACTGAAAAATATTTTCTGACTTATCCATTTAAATTTCTCAACCTTTGTATTATCATTGTGTATCATTGTGTATTATCATTATGTATCATTGTGTATCATTATCATTAAGAAAACTATTAGCTTAATTTATTTATTATTTTAAAATCAAAGCTTTCCTTGATCTACAAGGGTGCTAATGTTTGAAAAGGTGTGCTTTAGAAAATTCTACCATTTTCCAACCATATCTATCTAATATTATTATAAAAGGAAATACTGAGGAGACTTCCGGAGTATCAATTCTTTGAAAATGAGTACATGTAGTAATTATTTAATTACAGTTTTTAAAGGCAGATGCTAGATATATAAGCAATCATCTTAGAATTGCTTTTAATTATTTTGTATTTTATATGATATGTACATATTTTTACTTAAATGATCCATTTTACTTCAGAATAAATGTTATATTAACATAAATTAAAATATATAGTTTTATAAATATGATGAATGTAACTTTCAAAGACTATATTAAAACAAGCTATGATTCATATTTTTGAAATCAGTTCATAATAACTCTACCTAAAAAAATTAATTTTGTTTAAAAAGTCTAAAATTTTTTGAATGTTAAAATATAATAGTAATAATTTACATTGGAGTGTGCCTTTTTATTTATAAACTTGTTACATATATCTATATTTGTATCTCTATCGTATGATATAATGTATGTATAAGATGTGTATTATATGTTTATATACAAACTCACATATGTTCACACATTTCTGTCCAAAAATGCATTTACACTTACCTATATGAAATAGTTTGGATAAATAGATCTATCAGTTTAAGGGGATACTTAAGAAGGTACCAGGAAATATCTTTATTTCAAGAGGAAATATTATTTTTTAAAAATTTTCTATTAATTCCATGGTGAATACTTTTCCCTCAAGAAAGATTCCTGTGTTTGAAATTTAATAGCTTTCCATATGGTCATCTTCCTTTAGTAGACATGGTCAGTGAATCCATAGCTTTTTAAAAAAAACATAATCAATCTACATTTGGTGCTTATTCCTTTTTAATTTTTTTATCGACAATTATATTTATACTTACTTACTTTCCACTCAAACTTTATGACATGACCTTCTGAAAATTGTGCATATTATCAAAATACTAGAATGTTAAAACTTTACAGTTATATTATAATTTTTATTATTACTTGATAGTAAAACACTGACATTCATTTACTATTATCTTTTTTATTTTTCTCAATTTTGTTACATTTTCATTACTGTGAATTTCCATTTGATTATTTGTCCATAAACCAATTATGCAATATTTCCTTAATTTATTCCTTGATTCTTAGATTTACATAGCACTATGAGAAGCATAAAGAAATTCAACAGGTGAAGAAAATGAAATATAAATGACATTATTGATCATGTATTATTCACTAACCTCTATTCAGAGTAATCTGAACCGTTAAAATAACCTAGGTAATTAAATTAAATTTAGCCACAATTTACCCTTGTGTCATTTTTATGGCCTCCATTTCTATGATTTCATAAGATTTCAGGAGTGCTAAAGTTTGTGAGAAAGGAAGGTAATGTTAATGACTAAAAGGAGATCTAGAATGGAAGGAAAGGGATTTCAGGTACTCTGTTAAATTGGAGAAGACTGTAATATTAAGAGACAAGTAAAAGTAGGTCTGAAGGAGAGAGCATAAACTAGTGAGGAGACTTACCTGACTGGTATGAAGTATAAACATTGGAAGACAATGGAAATTACAGAAGTGGGATTTAATTTGAAAGTCTTGAGTCAGATTGGTAATTTTGAATCTGATTCCCTTAGCATTAGTTATAAACAATGAAACAAAATATTATAACAGTGTGTAGCATTCTATATAAAATAGGTTGGTATTGAAACATCTCTCTGTGGAAAAGAAGGTACACCGTACTCTTTCAAAGACATGAAGTCTTGAAGGATAGAATTAGGTAAGAGGAGCAAAAACCCAAAAAAGACATTTTGGTTTTCAGTGAGGGACATTTCAGATAGATTTGTAAGGAAAATAAAGTGAGAGGGCAAAGAGGGGTGAAGGTTTTGAAGCCTTAAATACCTAGCAAAATGATGATCACATTGAGAGGAGAAATCTAGCAGCTGAAAATAGTTGTAGATAGAGATGTCTCCATTCGATTTTAGTTTCTCATTAAAAACAGCAGGATTTAATAAAATTTATAAATTTATAAGCACGTTTTCATGTCTTCAAAATTAAGATTCTATTTTGTAGATTGTTTAGCTTCATTTTTAATTATGTGCATGTTTTTAATATAATGATATAATTTTGAAAATGCTACTATAGCTTTATTATATAAAAGACAGCAGCTGCAGTTGGTTTAAAACTCCCATTGAGGAGGAATAAAAGAAGTGTTTGTAATGACCTATACCACTGGCTCTCAACTAGAAGCACTTTTGTACTCCAGAAAATATGTGGCAATATCTGGAGGTAATTTTGATGGTCATGATTGAATAAGTGCTACCAACATCTCACCATTTCAGGCCTGGGAGGTTACTGAAGATACTGTTATGCTCAGGATACCCAGTGATACATAATTAAAGTCCAAAATCTCACTAGTGCTAAAATCAAGGAACCATGTCTCTTAAGGGAAAACATTGTTGGGTATGATCTCAGCTAGGGATTGTAAATTGCAAGGGGGACTACATCATGAGATGTCCTGGTGTTAGACAACAGACCATTGAAAAACACCCTCTAAATAGCCACAAGAGCAGTTGTGTTTCTGTGCTTTACTTAGAAAGACAAAAATATTTATATTTCTGCATATTTCAAAATATTCCTAATCTTTTAATGGTATTAAGATTAAATGAAAAATGAACTTTGTACAATAGAGCAGAGCTGAAATGTAAATTCAATAATTTTAATTGCTACTAGGATTATTATTTAGAACTAGGTTTATGTACATAAAACCTATAATACAGGTTTTGATTGATGATCATATTTTTCCATCAACTTCTTAAGTGTTGAATGAGCTAAATTTAATCCTTATTCATAGAAAATTGAAATGCAGGTTTGGTAAATTGTTGGTCATTCTAAAATCAAGCTGAGTACATAGATGTGTGGAAAACCATCACGATTGTTAGAATAAGAAAAATGATCGGAAAGAAGAATAAGAAGGAATAATTTTCACCGTCTGACCTTCATTCGACGCCCTCTTTGTCTTTTGCGTTCTGTTCCTCAGGTGTGACTGTAAATACATATTCTTGCTTGGATCCCGGCATACCTGTCCATGGCCGTCGCTATGGTCATGATTTCTCCATTGGATCTACTGTTTCTTTCAGTTGTGATTCTGGATACAGGCTGAGTCATGAAGAGCCCCTGCTATGTGAAAAAAACCATTGGTGGAGCCATCCACTGCCCACCTGTGATGGTAAGGACCCATTCAGCATGGAAGCTATGAATCACTTAAATTTAGAAGTAGTAACAATTCGAAATGTGAATATCTGTAGATGCCAAAGAACTCAGCCTTTGAAATGTAAGTTTTCAAATGATTGGTTTGAGTTTTTGAAAGAGGTTCTTGAATTTAGTCAGTTTCTCATTGGTTAAATAAATGTTGGAGACTTTTGGAAAAACTTTCTTGTTAGAATTTTTAAATTCAGGAAGGCTAGTATAGTACAGGATACATTTGCTGTCTTCCTTGGAAGGGAATCTTCCCCAAATGGAAGGTCCATCCCTCTATCGCGCCAGAAACACAGGGGCACCCGGTATAGACTGCCCCTGGTGGAAACTTTTTAGTAAGGGTACGTTGTTATGGAAGTATCCTTAGTTTCTTAGTTTTCTCATTTTTCATGCATGAAAGTAAACTAGAAAAAACTGCTTCCCTAGGATTCACAAATGCTTTCATGCTTGGTTTGTCAAAACAAAACAAAACAAAACAAAACAAACTAAATCTATCCCTTGTTTGATTCAGGGCTTTAATCTTTATTTTTAGTGTAAATTTTCAATTTCTATCCTTATTCTTTTTCAAGATGGAAGAGTGCATTTGTCATTTCATGATTAAATATTTAAGTGTTTCCTGTGCCTTCATTTTTTATAACATGATTTAAAAGAATCATCAGCACATTTCCTCTGTATTTGGTATGATACCATTTGTATTAGTCAGTGTTCGTATGTGACAGAATTTCAACTCTAACTGATCTTAAAAAATAAAAGCATAAATTGTTGTTCAACTATTCAAACCTTAAAACAGGTAAGGTATTGTACTTCTCAAAGCTCTTTATAAACATGAATTCAAACTTTTTATGAGTCTTTCTCTTTTTAGTCACATAACTCTAATATTGTATCCAGGATTTTTGCATGGGAGGAACTGGCAGTAGAGAATACAATCTTAGGAAAATAGAAGCTTATAGGCGAATCTTCACAATCTAAGAAGTTAAAACCTCATCTCTGTTCCAACTAGAAAAGAAAAAAAAAAAAAAAAAGAAACCGTGAAAGATACCTGTCTTAGTTATGGTTTTTGTTGCCAAAACAAAATGTCTGATACACATAGCTAATGTAGGAAAGGTTAACTTGGCCCACAGATTGTAGAGGATTCAGTTCATAGTTGGCTGTCTCCAAGGCAAGGTAGCATGGCAGAGGGGCATCACAATAAAGGAATTAAAGGTGGGTAGAAAGCAGCAAAGTGACAAGGAACAAGTGATAATTCTTGCTGTCCTTTTATATTGTGTCCAGACTACCTGTCCTTAGAAATAGAAGCATGCCAAGCCAAGCATTATGGTTTAATTTAGTAATCACATACCCTTAATCCTAGCATCACACACTCTAGCTCTTGCTTCCTCTGAAAACCCCTCCTATGACTGCATGAAGCTTTGGGGAGACATCTAGACACAAACACCAACACTATTTGTTTGGTCCACACTGGAGCCAGGCACTAGTAAAGGAGGTCTCATTATGACTAGATGTGTCTAGATCCTCTGTTCCTATGGATTGAGATAAGTGATAGTGATGGAAAGGTCCTATGTTTGCCAGACACTATAAAACTACATGGGTGACATATGAAAGCAATACTCACCAGGAGAAAACAGTGGAGGTAGGTGTATCAGAAGAAGCAGGAAATTGAAAATCTGTGTTAATGATAGCAACAATTCACATTTTATTTATGATAAAAGCAGATAGAAACAGTTTTCCTAGGAACAGTCTAGGTCCTCAACATCTTTTGCCAGAGTGAATTTCTGATTTTTATATTACATTTTCTACATTTCCTGATAGATTATTTAATGTTATTCCTCGTGTCAAAAGTGTTTGATGGCCCCGTGTTGCTTGCAGATGAATATCCAAATTACTAATCGTGAAATTAAACTACAAGGACTCTGGGATTCCCAATGCTGTCTCTGTCCTTTATTCTTACTGTGCATTTTCCCCAAAGATTATGTTGTGCCATTTTGAGTTTCTGTCTGGATCTGTCTTTTGTTTGTTTGTTTGCTTGCTTCTTTGTGACAGAGTCTTTCTGTATGGATTGCCTGTTCTGAACTCAAGTCTGCCTCTCCAAACTCAGCTTCCAAAGCAGCTGGGTTGGCAGCATGCGCCTGGATATCCCCCTTTTGTATTCCAATTTCATCTTGAACATTGGCCGGCAGAGCTGAATCATACTCATTTCTTAAACAATTCAACTTTTAAAAATGCAGATGTATAACAATTTTCATTGACTTGATCTAAAATCATCCATGTTTAGTACCTTGTGGACATGAAGTCGTCATGTGTGCTAGCAATAAAATTGAGGTCAGATGCTTGGTATCCAGCTGTCTTCATAAATGCTCTATACTACTATGTTTTTTTAATAATAGGTTTGAATTCCATTCTCTATTTGATAATATGTTAGGTCCCTAGAATATTTGAATATAGTAAGTTACTATCCATTCTTATCATTCTAACAGGGGTGGTAGTTTTTAGAAAAGCAAGAATTATCAGCATGAGAGGATATTTGGTTATGGTTTAACCACTTTTAAAATTAACCCAACTCCAATGAGCTTCTACTTTGAATTAGCATCTGTCACAGTGCATTGTACCAATGCGCATTTGTCAGTCTCTCATGATTGTTCAAAATGATTATCATAAAGCAGATACAATTCAAAACATAGGAAATGTAAAATAATCTCATTTCCACGGATGAGGAACTTCTTTAGGCTGATGAAATTGACGGGGTTGCCACTGCTGATGTGAGACTTTCAGGTACACGCAGAACAAGTGGAAAAGGAGAATTCAGAAGAGAGGGACCAGTTAAAGAGCATATATGAAGATACAGATGCATGAGTGTCAGGTGCTTAAAAAGATGGATTTGAAGAGGAAGATTTAAATAAGTCTGAACAAGTCAATGAAGCCTTGGAATGTAGATCATTTGAGGGACAAGATGCCACAAAGTCAGGCATTGATGAAGTAGACTGCAAGTTTTGTAATTTTTTTTTTTTAAATACAAGTTGTAATGTGAGGGAAAAGTTAAGGCTTCAATGTAATTCAGTAATTACAATACTTTTCTTATATTGTTATAAACAATACTTTTCTTATATTGTTGTAAGGGGTTAATTAATATAAATAAAGTCTGCAGAATAGTATTGTCACTCTGTACATTCACTTTGTGTTTGACTTAGTATTACTAAGGCTTCCTGGCTAGTTGCGTTTTCATATTAAATTTTATTAAATTGAAAATAAACTTCATTATTTTTTCATCATTTTAGTTTCCTTTCTTTAAGAAAAGGAAACTAACTCACATTCTTTTCCACCATTCACTATGCAATGTTATGTTCAATTAATTCCCTTCAAGCCCTACATCTGATACTAATTATTTTCAAATACCAGAACTTTACACTGTGAGCTCAGTATGGCTGTGTGTGTGTGTAAGCCAAGCACTCAGGGAAGTTGAGGCAGGAGAACCACAAGTTCCAGTCTGTTTTGGGCAATTAGTGACAGCCAGATTCTGTCTCAAGATAAATATTTTTTGAAAAGAGTTGGGAATGTAGCTCAGTGTGAACATTCTAGATTCAACTTCCAGTATAAAATAAAAACTAGACACAAACAAAATACCCTATACTGTGTCATAGAAATGCACTCTATATGTTGCCATCTGGGTATAGACAGAGTAGTATTATTAATATATTAGATGTTAACCATTCCTCCTAAATTTTTAAAGTGCTTGTGGTCCTTTAATTTCCCTCTTCTATGCGAGTACATAGGTGTCGCTTGCAGAAAGAAAGTCCTCGTGGAACTCCGCAAGCACAGACAGTAGGACAGGTGACACTGTATCTTTTTTGAGGACAGGTCTTTGGGCTTAAATGCTTCTGCCACCTGCAGACTTAGCATTTTCAGTCAGGTAAGGAAGGATATCAGCAAGACTGCTTCCCATTTCTTCACACAAACATTGATCATTGAAAACGATTATGGAACAACACAAAGCCAAAACTCACTCTTTCAGTGTCTCCGAAAAAGCTGGACATGTCAAAGCAAAAAGACCACATGCTGCTTTAATACTTGCTACTGCCCATGCCTGTCCCACAGGAGCTGCCCTTCCCAGTGCAACTCAGAAGTCAGTGCCACCTCTGCTACCACTAAGATATCAGTCCTCAGTACTTTAGTGGCTCAGTACTTTAGTGCTGTACTTTAGTGGCTCCTAATTTTTAATATGGACAACTGACAACCAATAAGTATTTACAACTGGTAGAAAAAATTGAGAATCTGTGATTTGTTAAATAAAATATGATTCAATATTAATTTCTTTAATCTCAATTCATAAGCATGTAGTTCTTTTTATTTCCTTGAGATATGTGCCCTTTCAAAACTTGAAATATATGCCCCTTCAAAACTTTGGTCTTATTCATGATATTTCTCAGAGAAACACAAATGTGAAGCAGCAGCTTTTAAAACACATCAAGCTCCTCTCTTAAAAAGAAGCTTATGAAAGATAATGCATAGCTTTTGAGGAATCTATAAGAAAGTTATTTCACCTAGTAAACAATTCATTTTGTAGTACCGAATCAAGGTGGATGCTAAACAGTTAATTACATGCATTTAATTTACCGCCAATGTTTGCTAATGCTGCTTGTCATTTGGAAACTGTAAGTTTGCACTTCATGTTCAGATTTTCTCTTGTGGCCATTACTACTTTTCAGAGAAGGTTAAGTACACTTTTCTGCTCTAGCTTTTGCAATGCATGGCATGATTTCCCAGTATCCGAAGAAGTCTTCCTGTTATTACTAGTAAGTAGTTCAGGCAAAGATAATGGGACCCATCCTATTTCAAGAGAGGAGGTCAGAGATTTATTCTGCCTGCGTTTCTCTGTGACTGATAGAGCTGCATTTTTTTTTTTTTTCAGCACTGTGTGGAGGAGATGTTAGAGGACCTAGTGGAACAATTTTATCACCTGGTTATCCCGAATTTTATCCAAATTCTTTGAATTGTACCTGGACAGTTGATGTAACACACGGAAAAGGTAATTTGTCTCATGCAGCAATAATTGGGTTATCGTCTGAATTTTTACTGAGTTTACTTTTATTTCATTGTCCTTACAGAATCATTTTGGATGACCAAAACCAGATTAGTACTCAAGTATGCTAAAATGAAATTCAATTTAAGTAACTGCATTAGGGGATTATATTTACTTTTCTTTAATATAATAATGTGCTCATGTTTTTACCAGAATGGTGCTGTTAGAGGTTCATTTTTTAATATATTAAGCTAAGGTCATTTGATATTTTCATTTCAAGAAATCTTCAAGAAGACTGATTTTGCTCTGTGGTATAGTATTAAGAAGTTCATGTTAGATGTTCAGAGGGCGACATGAAAATGTTCTGAAGTGCTCAGCCTACTGCAAAGCAAATAGTACATTTTTTAAAAAGACTACATTTATTTAATAAAATAATATTTCTCCTATAAAACTATAGTGATCTCAATAATACCAGAGTCCCAGATTTTCTAGAACAGATGCAGATGTCTCACATTATTACAGTGGAGTGTAAAAGTTTCCCATACATGTAGTAGAGTTTATAAATATCCTTTGAAAAGAAACACATGGAAGACCCAGTAGGACTAAATGGTCATTCATGTAATACAGCCTGGAGTATTAAACTAGCAATGTAATTGATCATGGTAATAACAGAGGAAGAAGTGACTCCTATATTAAAGCAAAATTTATTTTCCACTGTGAACTTGGAAATCTCTGTAGGATAATCTTGAAAACTATTAATTTATTCGTTCATTTTAAAACCTGCTTTTGCATAGTAGCTCAGCCTCTCTCTGTCTCTCTGTTTCTCTGTCTGTCTCTCTCGTTCTCTCTGTCTCTGTCTCTGTCTCTCTCTGTCTCTGTCTCTCTCTCTCTCTCTCTCTCTCTCTCTCTCTCTCTCTCTCCTACTCTCTCTCCTGTTCTCTCTTACTTTTTCTGTCACCTAGATCTTGCCCTGTAGCTGAATGGGCCTAGAATTTACCACTGTCCGATCCTCCTGCCTCAGCTTCCTAACTACGGGGATTACAGGCATCCACTAGTACACCTTGCAGAAATAGTTCCTCTTTTATCCCTGTGGTTATATTATTACTATTGATTCGTGCTACTATATTTATTGATTTTACTATCGAAAAATTTTAAAACTTCAACAGGAAGGCACTGTCACAATTTTAAAATCACCTTGTTTTAATATATTCAAATTTATTGTGTTTTCATGTGTAGTTTGTCTCGGATAAAATTGTACATCATTTAAAAAGAAAACTTGAGGATTATAAAGAGATTGTTTAGTTAGATATCTACCATAAATAAAATGAAACTGAGGAAAGCAATGTGGTTAAAATGAGTATTCTGATATGGAACAGCAAGAATGAGATGGAGTACAGAGCAAAACGCAATTTTTGCTCTTCTCCAGAATTCACTATACTTTTCTGGAAGTTAACTAAAACATCATATTACTGCAGTGTGCAGTGGATTAATGGAGTTTCTGCTAAGCTTCGTGATGTTATACAAGAAAATGGAAGGCTATATTCTGATTGCTATTTAAATAGAGTTTTAATTAACACTTAAGGTTTTGCATCTTCACAGGTGGCAAGTGTTAATTAAATCTCTATTTACATGGCAAGAAATGCAGACTTAGATGTCTTTCTTTAAGAGCCAACAGAGTATGTTTGAAGTAATATTCCAAAAACTAGGCAAAGTTACATGAAGGATCATCTTTTAAAGGTGGGAGAAATCACTGAGGTAATATGTCTCTCTTTTTCCCAGTATGCAAAGTTCTTTCTAAAGTGAGAACTTGATGAATTGGCCAGAATCAGGTATCTGTGGTGATGGAAAGCTACCTGTGGGAAAATCTACTCAATTGTCATACAAGTTTAATTGTTTGAAAATTATTCTGGAACTGTTATACCTGTTCTGAACCCTGGAGTAGACCAAAAGAAAAGAAAAGAGGAGGGAAACAAACCACAATAAAATAAAAGTAAAAATAAACACAAAAAATAACCCTATGCTGTCCACTTCTCCAACTTACAGCAACTCTCTATCTCACTATGCTCAAACTACCAGATCTTCATGCCGTCTTCCCCCAGGCAGGTTTCTTCTCAGACTAAACCCCTAGATTGTGTGTACTTCTTCATCAAAAAATACTACTTTGTTTTCATGGCCATTCTAATTTCCTTCCTCTTAATATGTTCTAACTTAATGATACTCAAATAGTTATTAATATATTCTTTGTAGATTATTGAGGCTTTAAATGATAGTTAAATTCAATGGCTAAAATTCTATAACAGTTGAATTTTTCTGTGTTCAATGTGGATTTATATATTTAATTCTGTCAAATTTCCTCATGTTTTTAGATGCAAGAGTTCCCGTAAGATCATGCTAAACTGACATACATTTCACTCATATTCACAGGATATAGTCAGTATATTCTTACATAAGCATGAGAATCAGAACTCTAGGGCTTTGCAGAAATCTGAAAAATATTATAGAAATCAAGATGATACATCATCTGCTAAAGATGGACATTTTGAGAAAAGAAATTCTACATCAAAAATTCTGTAGACTTCTTTAGTTCCAAGGATCAAACTTAATGACCTCACACTTGCCAGACAGGCACTTGTGCAGCTGAGCTAAACCCTAGCCCTTCTTTAGACTTTTAGATGTGAGATTGTCCTTTGATAAACCATAGTTGGAGGCTTTAAGTTTACAAGTTGGAAAGAAAGAAGAATAATGCCTTCAAAGTAATTGTTGGTGGCATGATTAACATGTATACATCAGTGCTATTTCAAATTTAAACCCAAGTATTTTCCAATATATTTGTAGCATAAATAGAACATAAATAAATAAATATAAATAGCTTAAAAAGATGGTCTTGAATGTTCACTGTTATGAGAAGGTATGAAGATGTTGAAACCACTTGCTTTTTCTCTGTCTTTGTTAGAAATGAGGGCCTTTATTTATCCCTTTTTTCTTGAAATATCTAGGGAAGGGGTGCTCCTCCATACACCTCTTAATTTTGGAAGTCACTATGTTCAGAAGCCTCTCCTGACTCCTTGGACAAACAAGTTACCTCTGATTCTATGCTCCTATACTGACAAATATTAACCAGTAGTATAGCATTTAGAACAATACTTGAAAATTTGGTTCATGTGCATTTTTCTTCAGATGGACTTGTTATATTTTTTTAAAGTTTTTTTTTTTAAATGGTGTCATATATTTCGTATATTTTTCAAATCTGAATTCACTGTTCCATTCTGTAGTAATTACTTTATCTGGTTAATGCTTATGGTTTTTAGGTGGTTTTTTTTTTTTTTTTTTTTTTTTTTTTTTTTTTTTTTTTGGTCTTTTTATGTAACTATCTTTAAGAAGCAAAAACAAAAACAAAGACTTCAGTTATGTCCTTCATTTGGAACTAAAATGTAAACAATAGAAGTGTTACTTACTGTATGTCTTGGTAACTTTTCTCTTCTGAGACAAAATACTTGATGGCCAAAATTAAGGAAGGAAAGTTTTATTTAGCTCACAGATTGTGGAAATTTCAGTCACGATTGATTAACTCCAAGGCAGGGCAGTACGTTACTGGGTCAACTATTCATGATAACAGAAAAAATCAAAAGCAACACGAGCAAAAAGCGGGGAAAAGAACAAGCCTCTTTTCCTCTGATATTATATGCAGGCTACCTGCTCTCGGGTGGGTATACGCTCACACCATCTTGGTGCCTTCCTCTTGCACAGGCTAAGGATACTTTCAAAATCAGGACTCTGGCCTCATACTGAATCATTTAGATTTCTAAACTTCTTAAGTTTACACAATGAGCAACACCCTAGAGCAGTAAGGCATGTCCTCTACACACTAGGATATACAACTGCTGAGTTACTTAGTTAAGCTTCTGAGCTTTTCAGGTTGACAGAGTGTATCAACCATTACACCATACTTTTTTTTTTTTTCTTTTTTTTTTTCCATTACACCATACTTTAACATTTTAGATTTTTAAAAATATTTTTGGTGATTTTTTTATGCCACGTTAAAAAATAAATGAATCACTGCAGAGGAAAGATGTCTGTGGTAGCCATTGTTTATTTCGATCACAACGTAGTAATTTGTGGGAGGAGCAAGAGTTTATAGTCCTTTACATGTGTTCTAGACAGTGAGTAACATTTAAAGCTAATATGGAATACACCGAAGCTAAAATCAGTCTACTACATACTTACCAAAATGGAAGAAATACAAACACTCAAATGTTCACACCTTGGAAAAAATTCAGAGCAAGTATGTTTGGATATTGAATGGCAAGATAGCATAGCTATTTCATAAAACAGTTTTTGTTAAAGCTGAACATATGACCTCATAACTCAGTAATTTTCCTTCGGGATATGTATTCAGTAGAAATAAACACATTTTCATCAAGAGAAATACTTGAATGTTCATCACCGCACCATCTACATTTACAACAATATAGACTACTAAATAACCATCAGCATGAAGAGATTAGTGAAAGTGATTCTGTCACTACATGGAAGGACTTTCTGCACATTATTGAAAATAACCTGTGATTGCTCTTTAATGAACCTCACTCATATGTCTAAGTTGAGTAGAACTTATAAGACTCAAAGGAGTACATACTATGTAATTCCATAAAAAAACTTTTATATGAATTAGGAAACTATTTTGTGCTACCATAGTGGGTGGTTATTTTTGCCAAAGTGAAGCAACTGGAAAGATTTGTGAAGGGTGCTCTGGGTGTTGGTAAGGTTGCCTATTGATTAGGGTGCGGTTTGCAAAGGTGTTTCCAGGTTGTTAAAACTCAATGAACTGAACACTTACGTGTGCACTCTGCAGCATGTTATACAAATAGTTTGAAATTATGAAAAATAAATAAAGTCATTTAATAGATGCAATAAATAGCGCCTTTTGTGCATACTTTATATTATTTTTCTAAAAGAGATTAAATCTATTTTAGAGTTGGGATGCTGAATTTAGACACAATTTTTATGTTGTTGGGGAGTGTAGGAGTAGGAAATGGAAGAGGCATGCAGCTCACTCACCAGGAAGCTGCATCTCTCTTATAAACAAAGACTACACAATTTCCTAGAAATTTTTTTGAAAGCTCCAGTGATTTCTTCTGAAGCATTAATTTTATTTTCAAAAAGTTTCAAAAATATGACTCATCCGTATCTTTCTTAAGTGTTCTGAATAGGAAGAAAAGAAAGAAAATTTTAGTACAATACTTTTGTGTGCGTTACTGAGGATGGAGCCCACAGCCTTCGACCACACATAGCGGATCCTGTGAAGTTTAGACGTGCCTTGAGGGCTAATTCCCTTTTCTTTCTTATTAGGTGTGCAGTTCAACTTCCACACCTTCCATTTGGAAGACCATCATGACTACTTACTGATCACAGAGAACGGGAGTTTTACCCAACCACTAGCTCGCTTGACTGGTTCAGAACTTCCATCAACAATCAATGCTGGCCTCTATGGAAACTTCAGAGCTCAACTGCGTTTCATTTCAGATTTTTCAATTTCGTATGAAGGATTCAACATTACATTTTCTGGTGAGAAAATAAAAAAAATCTCCTTTAGTAACTAAAAAATAAAAACTGGTTTTGTAAGTGCTGGCATAGCATGGCAAAACAGAGATGGAAAACTCATAGGAAAGAAGAAAAATGCTTAAAATAGAACAAGCAAGCAAATATCTCAGTAATTCTTTAAAAGTTCGAAATACCTTAATATTGTCTCTGACAACAAATTAATAGATCCTTTAAACAAAAGCAAAATAAAAGTTAATTCACTAAAAACTCAGTAAGACACAATAATTATATCTTCTTAAAAATAGAAAAGTCCTGTGAATTTCTGATCTATATATATCAGCTAAAAATGTTTAATGAATTTGAAGTGGAAATTCATATATGTATATGTATATATATATGTGTATATATATATATATATATATTTATACTCAAAAATGGAATGCAGATTAAATCAGTGATTCTCGTTTTGTCTTGACAAAAAGTATAGTAACTATGAATATTAAACTCAATACACTATTCTGAAAGGAAATTATCTAGAAACAAATTAATACAGCTTTATTTTTGTTATAGAATAAACTTTTTGTAGACAATTATATGAACTGGGATCCAGGAAAAAAACTATAATGTCAATGAGAATAGAAAGTATTCCCACAACACAAAATACTTCTTTTTAATGAAATAAAATTGTGAAATTCTTATTAACGTAGAGACAATTTAGGAAGGAAATATGCCAATGTATGTATACACGTATATGTGCACACACAGTGTGCTTATCTTGTTCTATGTTAAAATCTTTATACACATGAAACATAATAATGCATATCTTCTTAAAATATTATTTATTTTATTATTTGGGTGAAAATTCTTAGCTGCTAAAATAATAAAAGTATTCCACAATGAACAGTGAATAAGAATAATCAGTTTTGACACAGACTTAAAAATATCTGTGTTAATAGTAAATCTGTGTTTAATAGTATAATATTAATTAATCAGCATGAAACAGTCCTTGTTGATTCTATTGCAATTACACAGTGAGTAAGTGCTCTGAGAATATTTTTAGCTAAGCTATTAGAACTGCATGTGATAATAATTTTTAATCAACTCTACTGTCTCCTACACTACAGATTGTTTAGTTGCTCATTTCCATCCTGTTCATCCATTGCTTGGGGAAGAGTTTGTGTATAAATTTGTGATATAATAGTTACCAGAATTCGGGCACTTCAGTCTTACATAAACTTTTGCTTCTTAGAATATGAATTAATTGAATGCCTTATATATGCAAAGCACATACGCTGTTATCATTTAAATAAAATCCATTAAGTGAAGTATATTTTATAGTGCAAATGATTTCATTCCAAATGTTATGTGTTTGAAAATATATCCATCGATTATTCTGTTATAACTCAAAATCTGTGAAATGGAAGTTTCTAATGCAGAAAAAACATGTTACATTTTCAGTGTATCACCGAGAGCTGACATTTTCTCACTTATATTTAATTCCACCTAAAATAGTCAATAAAGTATTAGATAGTTCTCAAAAGAAAAATGATGTGTCCCACTAGCATATTTCCAAAATTATATCTACAGAAATTATATTTCTTAGAATGTGTGATTAGATACTGCAAAAATCAGAATTGCTAAAAAGGAATATATTTAAAAAATAACTCTTACTCTGATTTTCCTCTCCTCCTCTGAGGGGAGGATTTTCTCCAATTTTCAGAGTACAACCTGGAGCCGTGTGAAGACCCTGGCATTCCGCAGTATGGTAGCCGCGTTGGGTTCAGCTTTGGGGTTGGTGACACTCTGACCTTCTCCTGCTCCTTGGGTTACCGTCTGGAAGGGGCCTCGGAGATCATCTGTCTTGGTGGCGGCCGGCGAGTGTGGAGTGCACCTCTGCCAAGGTGTGTGGGTACGTGGTCAGCTGCTTTCATTTGCTTGTATGTGTAGTCACGTCCATGGAATTGCATGGTTACACACTCCTCGTTTGATTTCCTTATAATCTGTTATATTTCTTCATTTATTTCACATTATTTTCTTTCAACCTGGCAATCCGGTGAACCTTAATTTCTCTACTGTTGCAGTCAAACATCAAATTTGTTTTCAAATTTGTTGACAAAATTGTAAATTTGTTTTCAGGCGATGGTGATGAAAATGAATGAGGTAGATTGATTGAATCATAGATAACTGATTATAAAATGGGATTATTTGTTATTGTAATTGGTTTTATAAATTAGTGGTCTGGAAACATATTAGATTGCACTCAAGAAAACAGCATTTAAAATAACACCTACATTCCTAGTGCTTCCTATATTCCAAAGATTGTGCCAGGTGTCTGGTTTACACTGCCAAACTGCTTCCAATCTCTGTCTAACTCTGAACAATGGTGTAAGTGCTACAGCTGTAACCATTTTGTAGATGACGAAAGTAAAGGTTGGAAAAGTTTACCGCTAATTATCAAATGATCAGGCAGTCTGCGTACCTCCCTTGGACTGTTTCCAGAGACAGCTCACAGAAAATGAATTATGTTCTATTGAACTGAAGTTTTGACAGTGTTTTATAACTTAAAATTAACATGTATAAAAGATAATTACTCTATGACAAATGAAAACTAGAAGATTAAAGACTACTAAATCATTTATTGACATGATAGATTAATTAAGCTGATTATTCATTTCATATTCTGAGATAAACTAACAATAATTAAAGTATTAGAAGTATGAAAACACAATTTAGGCTTTTGGAAATGGATGTTTTATGTAGAAAAGGAGGAACTTGGTTTTCATTTTAGAAAATAAAGGATTTTTGCATTATGATTTAGGTCATTCCTTATTTAAATTAGAAAAATAAGAGACAGGAAATTTTGGCCACCAGCCATTCAGTGGTGAGCAGAATTTATATCTAGACTAACGGTCATTTTATCCTTATCACACTAAAATTTTTGGAAAATAATTAATTTGAATGTAATTTAATTTAGATAAATTTAATTGTGGGGCACAGAATTCTGTAAGTGATAAAATAGCTCAGAATCAGACTGGTAGAAGAATCAGATTGGTAGAAGTTTGATCTGTGGTTTATGTCCTTGTTTTATTCTCTACCTAAAATTTTCACTGGTAAAAACATAAATGAAGAAGAGCATACCTACTGTTTTGCATGATTTAATGTATTGCCCAAAACAGAAAAAGTAGAGACTCCTCCCAGACTGACAACTTCGTGTCTTAGAATAAACTGTCTCAAAAATAAATAAATAAATAAATAAATACAATTAGAACAGGGGTGGTGGATATAGTTTATTGAGAGGCCTAAGTTCACTTCCCAGTACAGAAAGAACAGATGAAAGGAGGGCGGGTGGGTAGATGAAGAAAAAGAGAAAAGAAGAAAGAAAGGAGAGAGGGAGGGACGGAGGAGAGGAGGGAGGGATGGAGGTTGTCTTTTGGAGTCCATAATCACACCAAAGAAGAAAAATAAACAAAAAATGCTATCTTTCAAGTTAGTATGAATCTAAACACTTTTATAGTGAGGAAGATGATTTTCATAATCTCATAGGGTTATATAAAAGATCAGCTGATACATAACAAATGATTTTCTTTTTGAAAACACAGTATTTTGTGGAAATCACACAGGCACCATAGAGACTTGAAGACGAGGAAGGATAGTTGATAAGCAGTTAAACTCCCAGAAAATCTTCTCCAGAAAGCTATGCTGGGTATACTCTAATTGTGGGCTTTTTGCTTCTGTTTTTGTTTTGCTGATTTTAGATGTGGAATAACTATTCTTTCCTATCTACATTTCCATTTCTGTACAGTGTGACTATTTGCAAAGGTGGGTTAATGACAGCCTCAGGAATATCCCTTTGAGAGACTCAGTGTCTAATCATTTGATATTTGGCTGATTAACTCTCTTAAATTTCATTTATCTCAACTACAAAGCAGTTGCATCTGTAGCACTTGTGTCATTGTTATGAGTTATTTATGAGAATGAAGAAATTAACCTTATAAATCAGACATCTGCCACAATTCCTAAAATATAGGGAACATTCAGAATGTAGATAATGTCTTAACTGGCTTTGTTGTGAGTATAACCTACTACCTCTCCAGTCATCAATTTATTTTGTAAACCAAAATATGAAGAATAATTCGATTTTATAAAATCCTAACACGATGAATTTTTACTGAGCTATTTCATATATTGTTCTGTTTACTTTTTACTGTAGTGTTGACTTGTTAGTAGAACTTGTGTGTTAGAGAGATTAAATAATTTGTCCAACATGTTAAAATTTTAAGTGTTTGAAACAAGATTTACACAGAGATCTATCTTATTTGAATGCCTCACTTTTTCACTTTGGCATCTAAGGAAATTAAGTCACACGGAGCCGATGTTTTGTTTTAAAAAGTTACAAATGCATATCAGGCTGTTAAGTAGATTCAAAGTACATTGCTTATAGGTACATTTTTAAGGTTTACCCTACAGTTACGCTAGATTTTAATACATGAGTTCATGAAAAATTGACACAGTGAAAAACCTCATAAAGTTACTTTTGTTTTATTAAAGTATTTCTCTGAGAGTGAGTTTGTTTGTACCTAAATCTTTAATGGGAAGGATAAAAGAAAATCACCCTGTGGGCAAATTTAGAAAGCAATATTTTCCCATGGAAAGTTTTCTCCATTTTCAAATTAGCTGTGCTTGCTTTTATGTTTATTGAAATTTACAATTAAGTCTCTTGACCTTAATAAATTTCACTGCAGGTGTACATTTATGTTACAAAATGGGGGAAAGTCACTTTCAAATAGAAAAATTGTTTGTTTGTTTTTTAAAATTACCCCTCCAAATTTCTTTGAACTTCTCTTCACCACTTTGCATACATACTAAAATAAATATATTCCTTTATGTGTATTTTTGCTCCAAATCCGTGTATGTTTATATTTTCTATTTTTATCTTTACCAATTTTAGTCTTATTTACAAAAAAGGTATCATTGTAATTATTCATTTGAGCATATGACCAATTTTCTCAATTCTTAGTTTTTATTTTTCTTATATCCTTCATCTTTCACTTCATATATATATATATATATCACCAATTCTTTGTAAGACACTTGCTTAATTCCTAATATTTACTCATCAGTACCCTAAACATCCTCAAAAGCTTATATTACAACCAGTAAATTATAAATATATTGTATTTTCAGAGTTTGCTTCTGCCTTAATTATACTTTGCAAATAAATTTCCAATGATATATGTGGTACTAGAAAAAAACCAGATAAGGTTTAAAATTTTATGTCAAGTATAAATAAATGTTAGTATCAAAATTATATTTGCTCTTTATATGATAATATTGTTTGTGTAATAGGCAACTAAGAAAGCTATTTTTGAACATTTGCCTTTTATTTGCTTTTGTACATATTTATACCCCATTTTGATCGTACATTTAATTTAGAGGTAGGTTGACATATAGTTGTTGCTTCTGAAATAACCGTATAAAATTTATCTTACGGACTGGAGGTATAGTTCACTGGTAAAAGTGCTTGCCTAGCATGGTGATACTCTGAGTTGGATCTCCAGCACTGAAAAATAGAAAAATAACATAATTCTAGATGTTTGTTAACTAATAAACAACACTTCTGTTAATCAATTCCTTGTAATAGCTACATTTTCATTTTGAAGTAATGTTTCAGTATTCAAATGTAATAATAGGTCCTTTTGCATACATAAACATTCTATCATATATCATTTTATCTCATTATACATTTCTATCAGAGAATATCTCCATTCAAAATTGTGAAAGTAATTTTAGCGTAAGTGTTTATCAGTGAATATACAGTGTCTGCTAATATTTCGAAGTTTCATAAAGCTTGGGCAGAACCATGACTACCCAGACTAAGTCCTGTGCTTGGTCTGTAGTAGCACACAGCACTCGAAAAAGATTTGGGTACAGCGGGAAGGAAATCTGTGCCTCACTGTAGCTGACACATGACTTTGGAGGACTTCTTAGGTTTGTCCTCTGTTTTAATCAGAGGGAAACTCCTTCAAGCATGACCCCATATCTGGTGTCATTCAAATGCTGGGAGATTTTTAGTGGGAAGCAAAGAATGTTAATAGAAACCTAGCACATAGCACTTACTCAAAGGCTGGGACTGTTCCCCCAAGCAGTACCATCCATGGAAGGTGCATATTTCTAGTCAGCCTTTCCTAAACTGTGTGACATTTGACAAATTCAAACACCCTTCCTCCTAATTATTTCAAAGATATGGATAATCACATCCATATCTCAAGATAACACTTCTGGCCCCATGAGTGACAGCTGATAAGAACAGTTTCTACCAACCAGCCCACAAGGGAAAGGAGATAAAAGATGATTTCATGATGAAAATGAAAGTAATACTTTGAAAAACATATATCTACCTATTCATAATTATACTTCAGATTTTGGAAGAGGATAGCAGTGAAGATGATATTTTAGTCAAAATATTTTATATTTAAGGGAGTTTCCTACATAACTATGATCTAAGGAAATGAATATATGATCACCCTTTATTACGAAGCAACCAAACATATAAAACATGCAAAGAAAGTAAAAGGTGATTATTTTAAAATAAGAAATGAGGTTTGTTTTTGGTCAGTATACAAATACCTTATTTTCTTTGGTAAATTTCATGTTACAAGACTTATTGACATTTTGTTTAATCGGAAAAACTTCTTTGTCTTCATTCAGTGTCCAAATATACCAGGATCCGTGTTGCAAATACACGAGGAGCTAATGAAGGAACATGCTGTAGAAAGTAGATTAGCAGGTTAAATATTAGCAGTGATTTGACTTTAGGCAGGAGTCCACACATTGTAAGAAGACCACACATTTCAAAGTCATTAATTCATTCATCCTCATAATCCCCATTTAACACATCTACTTCTGTTT